AATGAAATTTGGCACTTACAACCGAATTGAGTCCAGAAGCTAGTATGTCAAATTTGGTGAAGATCGGTTCAGATATAGCTATAGCTCCCATATATATTGTTCATCCGATTTCTAGTATTTGTTACCCACAGCCGTAATATGCACTCCGTAACAACGATATTCAGGGATATATATCAAATTCAGCTCAGAAATATTTTTGCCAAATTTTATCGAGATCGGTTCAGATTTGGATATAGCTCCCATATATATCTTTATCTGATTTCAAATTAATTTAGCACCAAATGCTCAATACAAGTCCTTTGAACTTTAAATTATACTTATAATTATAGCGTGTATGATTGAAAACGTTTAATTGTTACGTGGAGCTCTACTAAATTAGCAAAGTGGTATCAAAAAGTCGGCCCCGCCCGACTTTAGGATTTTCTTTACTGGTTTACTTTTCGAACCATTTCTGCTGATGTTGCTGTGTTCTTCCGTCCATTTCTTTTCGGGCTACACTACCAGTATCACGGTAACGAGACACGAAAGATTTATTCACATTTAAGTGCTGGAGTGCTCTAACGATAGCCACTTGTGGTTTTCCAGCCAAATATAAAGAAATCACACTATCACGCATGAATTCCATAAAGAATAACTTTTTTTTCTGTAAAATTCTCACTAAAATGCTTTTGTATGCTTGTAAAGAATATAATAGGTGTGTCTGGTTACTTTTCCAGCAGGAATTGTCCAGCAACTTCTTTCTGAGAGAGTAAGGTAGTTTTATTCTCTTTTGCAAGGAAAATGCGAAAAGTAAACAGACGCTATTCCTGCAGAAGCTTGCAACTAATCAGCTGATTTGTCAAAACAAACCAATTTGTCCCCCATAAGGAGAATTAAAACAAAGGAACCAATACGAATTTTACAAGTTTTTTAAATAAAAATGTTGGAAATAGTCTTTTATTTTCTTATTACATATTAACATTTACGTTTTTCACATTTTGTAAAGTTGTTCTCCAAAAACAATTAGTCTTGCTAATTCCAAAACAATATTTTCAAATTAAAATCACAAAAATAAATAAATAAACAATAGAAAACATCTGATTGAATGTCGATGAATGAGAAGAAGAAGAGTTGCAAGAGATTGCAAGAAGAAATTTTTCCAGCAAGAATTTGCAAACTCTCACTGAATGAACTGTCAAAATTTCTCTCTCCAACCGCTCTCTTTTGCAGAACTTTCGGGTTAACAGACGACTTCCAGTAACAATTTGTAAAAATTGTTACAAATTTTAGGGTAACCAGACATACCTAATGAGTCACTGGAATAATTTTAACAGCTGTCGGACGAGTGGCTTTGAAATGACAGCAGTCTGAAGTTAGTTGGAGTTTTTTCATCTCACCCTGCATAACTAAAGAGCGGCTGGCCTGATGAGGACATTTTATACAATTTCGGAAAAGAATAAAATCCAAAATAATAATTTTGTGATACATTTTAAATTTTCGTAGATTTTTATATAGCATTATTTTTTTATTTGACATACTATATTGTACAGTGTACATTTTCTATTGTTTTGAATTCTGTTGAATGTAGTACACAATACGATGTTAAATGGTGACCTGTGATCTAGATTTTTAACACCAGGATCTGCTTCTTTCTTAAGCTGGGTGATGCGAATACATTCAAAGCAAAAGCCACACAGCTGCATGAGTCTCATATCAAAACGTGGACCTACTTCTTTCAAATGCCAAATATGCTTACACTGAGAACTCAAAATGCAAAATGTGTTGAGACTTCAATCAATGAAACGCCGAATATCAAGAGGTACTGCAATGTACGACTATACAAAATTGAACGTTTTGTTACAAATAGATTTTTATCCTCCCGAAAATTTTTACGAAACCTTCGAAATACCAGGTACCGTTATATGCAAAATATGCGGAATTATTAATCACTTTTCCCAGAAAATATTAAAATTCATTAAATTGGGTCTCATTCGAATTCGGAAATTGTGGCAGAAACATGCAAAATAACGAATGATAAAAAATAGCATGGGGCCGATTTACATAATGTATAATATTTACCATTCAAAAAAAGAATTAAACGTAAGTATTAAAGTGTATCTTGAATAATGTGATATCTTTATAAAGTTGAATGGCTGTACGGACTATGTTCGTCAAATATGGATCAAAATATGTGCTCTAGAAGCATTTCCGATGCTCTTTCCTAATATGGAAACCACAATGTATTTTCCTTGACCATTTCACCACAGTGGTCCAAACCAAATCTATCCTTGGAGTGACCATCACTTTTTATTTAAACTTTTTTTTAAACGCATATCCCATTTTATTATTATCAAACCCTTATCTTTGTAAGCACTTTTTCCTACCAAAATCATATATATTATTATTTGTCTCTGAGAAAAAAACAGTGTTGGTAAACACGCACATTATAAAGGGTTTATATAATTTTTAGATATCATTCTCTTGAATTAAAATCTATGACTGAAAAATAGGATCAGGTATTCAAAATCGACCGGTGCATCAACATGTATTGTAATGTTCTATTTAAAATTTACTCCCAATTCGTGATTATGATAAAAATTAGCCAGATCTTTGAATTATTATGCTTTAAAAAAATATATTAAACACTAAGACTACGGGCCGAGCGGACCTGGCCAATTAGATTTAAATATTTAAAAGTATGGTAATATACAAAAAATCCGATGTCTAAACAGCTTGGGAATAATATTATAAAAATGGTTTGTTGTAACAATTTTTTAACAAAGCTTGAGAAACACTTATATTGCGCCAATTTTTCTGGAATTTTCTCGACAAATTTGTTTTAATTTTTTCTGTGCAAATTGTCAGCTAAAAATTGTTTTCTTTTGGTAAAAAGCTAAATCACGTGAACTTAGGACTCATTTCTGGACGAAACTCTTAAGGTAATGAAGAATAATAAATCGGGGGAGATCAGTGGTACATATTATTTCAATCTCATTTTAGAATGGAGGCATCTTAAACGTTTCAAGAATTCAACAGAAGTGTAGTATAAGTGAAGGAAATGCATAAGTTCAAATAAGGGAAAAGAAATCGTCTAGCTACCAAGGCAACGGGAGGCAGTGACAGAGGGATGGGCATCAATGAATGAAATGTGTAAAATAATAAATAATGATAAAAAAAAATATTTTATGCTACTACAAAAATAAGCTTAATATAATATTACTTCGGTAAGCTTATTCTAGAAATACAAGTATAACCTTATAAAAAAGGTTTCAATTTCGATTATTCAATACTTGTTAAACAAACATTTTTCAATGTTTTCTCAAGATTGCTCAAACTTAAGGCTTATGTTCTTTAGCTTATTGTAATATTATTCTCATGCTATTTCGGTATGTTGGGTAGGAACATAACAATCTGGAAGTAAATAGTTTATATAAGACCAATGGTAGAACTAAGAAGATAAAATCAAATCATTTGTTTAATTTTTTTAAATTATTTATTCAACAAAATTATTTATTCAAAAAGGATCTACTCTTTCATATATTAAGTTCGGTTCTTACAAATATTTTTTCAATTCATTCCCCGAATAACCATTCCTCATATTATAAAAAATAAAATACTTCAAAATGCTAACCAGTTTCGGATTTTAATAGCATATTAGTCCAAATTGATTGTATATTAGTTCAATTTAATTAAATAATTTATACTTGTTGACAGCTATAGCATTACTTGTTGTTATTATTTTAGCAATACACTGTAATTTCCTTTGGCACGTTCAATAATTTTCCGTCCATTGGTTTGAATTTCTTTAATCGCATCCACATCTGTCATATTGACGAAACTTATGAACATGAATTGTATGAATTTTTTAATACCTCCTGCACAAAAATCAGTTTTGCAAAAAAAATCTCATATTTATTGAAGGTAGTACCCGATATAGTTCAAACCTTGCACAAAGTAATAATAAGATAAGGCTTAAGCCACGTTCGAAAATGACAATATAATATATTAGTCACATTGTTTATATTAAATATATGTATATATTGTCCCGCTGTTTCGCATACCCTTAATAAATTTTCAAGTTGCAGTGTTAGTGTTAGATAGATTCATATCGACTGAAAAAGATATGGGTTATCTCACTTATACCACAACGATTTAAGACCTCTTTTAAAATGTGTGATCCATTTTCTATTTTCATTTTACGCCAATTTTCATACAATTTCGTTGTTCTGTAATAGTCGTTCTTAACTCTAACTTCTTAATTAATACTTTAGCAATTTTGTTTGGGATATCTTTACAAATGAGTTCAAAACTTTTGTAACAACTATTTGCATTTTTATGTGTTTGTTTCTCTTTCGAGACTCTTTTTATTTACGGCACTTGTATTTATAGAACAACCAAGCTTGTACAAAATGTTCTACAATATTTCCCGCGCCTTTAAACATTTGCGTCATAGGTTGTTAATTATTTCTAAGACAAGAATTTTGTGCAAAGAGATGAAACACATTCTACATTTGTCAATACTGTATTTGTCAATACTGTATTTGTCTTTGTGCAGTCATTATTTAACACCCCTGCAAGAATTTTGAAGAGTATTTCTCACTCCATCTTTAAGATGCCAATTCTTCTACTCTTCTTGTCTAATAAATGCATTTACTATATAACAAAACTGCTGTTGTCTATGTGTTATCGTCAAGGAGTTACTACGAAGTGGCGCCAAAGGTGTAGCGTGTGCAGGCACTTTTTTGTGCCTTTAGTTTTCAGTTATTTATAACTTTAACAAATATAATACTATATAGAAAAACTGGATTCCGGAGATTTTCGTGACCTAACTTACTTAAATAACTGTAAAAGTTTATTGTATGAGAAATTGTGACTAAGATTGTGACTTCCCGAATGTTTACAAGGCAGACACAACGGGCTAAAATCGACTTAGAATCTGGAGAGAAATTCATGGGTATAATAAAACAATCGATAAAGTGTAATTTAGTATAAATTTGTCTTAAATTATTAAGTTTACTCACTTATATATTCCGGCCGAGATAATTCCATATGAATTTGCTCCCCTTCATGAGCCATTATGTCAGCAAATGATATATAACACTCAGCTATATATTGATTTGTCATTCCAAATAAGTCTTTGTCTTTAATACTAAACTGTACGAGGCTGTTTTGTTTTCGTTGTTCATTATTTAGTTCGCTGTGGGGAAGAAGATATATTTAGACTTAAGATGCTGATGGAAAACCTTGACTTACATGGTGAATTTTTCATCGTAGAGTGGGAAACATGTTTTATTGTGCACCGCAGTCTTAATGGGCTGCACTCCAAGAAATCTATTAACAGGAAGAAAATGTGCTTTAACAAATGAATCACAAGATCCGTTGCTATCCATTGGAACTATATTCCTGGCATTCATGATATGTAACTGTAAGAAAAGAATAATAGAACTGTGAAATATATATATATATATATATATATATATATATATATATATATATATATATATATATAGAGATCTAATATAAATATTACAAGGTACAAGATTTGTTCCATAACGACCAATTCTCTAACACATTCACCACATCATTATGAATTTCTTGTCCCGATAAACCTTGTTTGTGTAAATATTTAATGACAACACGCATTTCTAATTTTCCTATTGTAAAAAAAAAATTGCGGATGAGAGTGCAATTTATTTATTGAAAACAAAAAAATATGCAGAATGTCTAATACACAAAAAACAAATATTTCTGAGCAAATCAGATATTTTTAGCACATGTTTTTTTCCTGTTTGCGTTCACAAAATTGGATGCAGTTTCCTTATTCTCTTCTATACAAGAAATATTTTAAAACATCTTTACTTTGTATACATTTTATTCGCCGAAAATCAATATAGTCAATATCAAGCCTTAGATAAACTTAAATAAGGTAGTTAATTTAGACTACAAATATAAATTTAAAATTATCAAGATCCGCTAGCTCACAACATACCAACCTATCGCGTTGTAAGGGGTCAACAAGGTCTCCTCCGCACCGTAAGTGTTGGCGGCTAGCACCTAGAGGACCTTGTTCATAGATGTGGCTTTCGTGGACGTCTTGAACGTGCTATCGAATGTGCCCTGATCTGCACATTCAGCTATGTTCTTATCTCCGTACTTCTTCTGCTAAAAAGTTTGGGCGTTGATTTTGTGGTGTATATTTGCATTCCTTGTATTGAATGAGACGGCAAGTTCTGCGAGATGGGATTTCAACCTGACACATATGTCATAAACGACAGGTCCCGACGTCATGATCGGACAGTCATTCAAGTTGGTTATGATTTCAAGGTCGTCTGAAAAGCGCGGATTTTTGAAAATGCAGAGGTTAAAAAGTTCTGGGGCATTTCAGTAGTTATGAAATTGGGCGATATGCAAATCGAGACTATTGTCAGAAGATGGTCTGACCCAAGATAAATGACGGGCTGCAAAGTCATGTTATTTATCAGACTGGGTAATACTACGGTTAAATCCGGCGAATCGTGACACTTTCCTCTTGTTCGCGTGAGGGCATTCTCGTTTACTGTGCAGAATGTGGAATAATCAATCATCTCTGCCAAAGCTAATCCTCACAACTAATGGTGGATATTTAAATGCCTTCCAACAGCTGACTAATGTTTAGCAAATAACGAAGTTCACAGCTATTAACCGGCGACTTATTCACTTTAAGCACCTTAGGAGTTGCATACCATGTTGTTACTCCCATATATCCATGTACGAGTCACTAGAGACTAGCTCAAGCTAGATAGTTTTGTATTGAACAGATTGGTTTAACAGAAACGCTAATCTCCCACCTCACCTTTCGGTTCGACAACGTTCTATGCGCAATTTTCAATGAGATGGTTTCCCGCAACCGCAATTAAAAAAATTCCTTCGATTCACAAATTCAACTTTCAAATCAATTTTACATCGATGCAAAATCTGGAAGTTTAACAGCAACATGTTTCGTCAGATGTGTACTGTTCAGGAGACTGCGGCGCAATTCTTATTGTTTTTAAGAACCGAACAGAACCATGGTCCCGTCTTTACTTTAATACCGGTACGGACTTAAATATTCCGAAGCAGAAAAATAAGCAAGCATTAAGGTGGCAGCCGCTGTCCCAAAGAATTAATTTGATATTTTGGGTCAACCTGTTATCCGAGAACACGCCGTCTATTTCATTGAAATCTCCAAGAAAAATTAATGTATTCTGGTACCCATGGGTGTACTTCTCTACGTCTTGTGATTCAGCTAGAAAACAGTAAATAATATTAAAAGTCTTGTCTGCTTCATCGCATTTAAACGGTTGGTAGACTAAAACTCCATTTTTACATATGGTCGAAAAAATTGTGGATCTGTGGATCCAACTAGTGTCTCAAAATGTCACTTTTTTAAAATACGGTAAATGAGGAGGTACCTTGATATGGGACGTATACCAAAGAGTACATATTTTTAACACTTTTTCCAAATGGCAAATCACATTAAAATCTGTTGAAAATTTTTCCCAAATTCTTAAGAACCTCCTTAAATCGGAGTAGAGTTCTATTCTAGGCAGCCATATCAAAAACATATTCAATTTTGGATATTTGTGGCAGATCAATTTGTTATCCTATCCCACACAAGAATGTTAAATTTCATTAAAATTGATGGAAACATACGGTAAAACCCCTTCAAAGAAGTATAATTGGGGGTAGGCTTCTATAGGAGCTATATGAAATTAATATTAATATTATTTTGTAAGGACATCAGGTATCCGATAAAAACACAAGATGTAAAATTTCACTCCATTTCAATTAAAAGTGTACCTTTAACCTTATTTATTACTCATAATGGAGTAATCCTATATATTCCATCTTTACGCCGGATCTCGCGTTAGTATTTTTTTGTTTTTGTTATTTAAAATGTTGACCGATTGTGGGGGAGGTACCAGAAGGAGTGGGCCGACATCAACCATTTTCCCAACAGATCTCGTGTTTATAGAAATATTGGTGTGTGGTGAGTTTAAAATGAATCGGATGCATTTTTTCGTTTGCATGGCTATTCAAAATGTTGACCCGTTGTGGAGGTGGTATCAAAGGGATGGCCGATTTATATGTTAATGAAAGTATTGGGATATGTGAAACTTGAAGACAATCGGACTCTTTTATTTCACATTTAATGGGAATTATTATTAAAATTGTTGACCCTTTGTGTGGGAGGTACTTGATGGAGTAGGCCAATATTGTTTATTTTCACATCTGCCCTAACACTGACAAAAATATTGGAATTTGCAAAGTTTGCACAAAAGCGACTGACCATTCCCTGTTCTATAAAAAAAATATTTTCTTTAAAAATTTTGAACTTTTGTGCCTGATGTTGCCCATCTCCCAACTTGACAATCAAATTACGATGTCCCAAGTTTGAACCAAATCTGATACTCCCTTCGAAAGTTATCGTGCGCCAGCCTGACAGACAGAGAGACGGACATCCTAGATCGACTCCAAATGTCCCGAAACGAATTAGGTCCAAAGGGCCCTAGGGTCTAAAGCCGTTATTTCGACAAGGCAAGTTTTTGCCGTATCAATATGATGTATACCCTCTGTAAGATTCTTGGATTCTTTGGTGCTTTTTTAATTAAGGTTAAAAACCCTATTTAAGAGGGATCGTAGTATGTCAAATTATTTACAAATTTGTGTATAATAATTATTTTAGACACGTTTGCACTTTTTGCGAATTTGGCCGGTCTCGGTTACATTACATACTTTCGGTTGGAACATTTTTTTTGTTTTTTTGTGCTCTTTAAGTATGGTTAAAAACTCCCTTTAAAAGGGCAAAAGTTAAGGTTTTTCCCTTCTTTTAATATTTCATAATGTTATTAATACATTTTCACGATTAGACTTGTACTTCACATCTCTTATTACCTTAAAATTGCTAAATTACTTTATTGCTGGGGTGCACCACTCTTTTATTTTTTTACTGTTAGCCTAGTTGTTGTTTCTTTAATATTTCACTGTTGTCTATATTTTTATTTTTATCATTTATAGTACCATACATATACCATCCATAAATGGAATTTCGAGCGAGCATACTCCCAAACTCATTCTTCTTAATTCCATTCAATATGAGAGATGATAATATATCACAACCAATTAACATATCAACCTCATTTGATTGAATGAATAGATTCAGCGATTCTTTCTTGGTATGTCTTCAATAACGAACCCCTTTACATCTATCATATTGTTTGAATTTCCAGACAAAGTAATGTTTCACATTTTATTCCTATATTCTGCTAATATTGAGATTAGACTCACTTGTTCAACACCCCATTATTGTTACCAATTTGCTTGTTATAAATAATCGTGTGACTCTATATATATATATATATATATATATATATATATATATATATATATATATATATATATATATATATATATATATATATATATATATATATATATATATATATATATATATAGAGTCACACGATTATTTATAACAAGCAAATTGGTAACAATAATGGGGTGTTGAACAAGTGAGTCTAATCTCAATATTAGCAGAATATAGGAATAAAATGTGAAACATTACTTTTACTTGAATATTTAATGACAACACGCATTTCTAATTTATTTATTGAAAACAAAAAAATATGCAGAATGTCTAATACACAAAAAACAAATATTTCTGAGCAATTCAGATATTTTTAGCACATGTTTTTTTCCTGTTTGCGTTCACAAAATTGGATGCAGTTTCCTTATTCTCTTCTATAGAAGAAATATTTTAAAACAACTTTACTTTGTATATATTTTATTCGCGGAAAATCCATATAGTCAATATCAAGCCTTAGATAAACTTAAATAAGGTAGTTAATTTAGACTACAAATATAAATTTAAAATTATCAAGATCCGCTAGCTCACAACATACCAACCTATCGCGTTGTAAGGGGTCAACAAGGTCTCCTCCGCACCGTAAGTGTTGGCGGCTAGCACCTAGAGGACCTTGTTCATAGATGTGGCTTTCGTGGACGTCTTGAACGTGCTATCGAATGTGCCCTGATCTGCACATTCAGCTATGTTCTTATCTCCGTACTTCTTCTGCTAAAAAGTTTGGGCGTTGATTTTGTGGTGTATATTTGCATTCCTTGTATTGAATGAGACGGCAAGTTCTGCGAGATGGGATTTCAACCTGACACATATGTCATAAACGACAGGTCCCGACGTCATGATCGGACAGTCATTCAAGTTGGTTATGATTTCAAGGTCGTCTGAAAGGCGCGGATTTTTGAAAATGCAGAGGTTAAAAAGTTCTGGGGCATTTCAGTAGTTATGAAATTGGGCGATATGTAAATCGAGACTATTGTCAGAAGATGGTCTGACCCAAGATAAATGACGGGCTGCAAAGTCATGTTATTTATCAGACTGGGTAAT